GGCGCCGCTCCCCTCTACCGCGACTACTGCGTCCTCGGGGCCGGCCCCGCGGGCCTGCAGGCGGCTTACTTCCTCCAGCGAGCTGGCCGCGACTACGTGGTCTTCGAGCGCAGCCACGCTCCCGGCAGCTTCTTCGCCCTCTACCCTCGGCACCGCAAGCTCATCAGCATCAACAAGCGCTACACGGGGAAAGCCAACGGCGAGTTCAACCTCCGCCACGACTGGAACTCGCTGCTCAGCCACGACGCCCGGCTCCTCTTCCGGCGCTACTCCCGCGACTTCTTCCCCGCCGCGGACGCGATGGTGCGGTACCTGGAGGACTTCGCCTCCCTGCTGGAGCTGCGGGTCCAGTACAACACGGCCATCGTCCACGTGGCACTGGAGAGGGACGAGCGGGCCTGGAACGGACACTACTTCCTCCTGACCGACCAGGACAGGCAGAGTTACAAGTGCAGGTAACGGGCGAGCCCGGGGGTGGCCACATCGCTCTCCACGGGTGTCTTGGAAGTCACAAAAGCGCAGAACAAATCGGGTTCAGAGACCCATAAATGTCATTTTGTCTAAACTCTGCTCAAAGCAGAGCCAGTGACATCAGGTTACTCTGGGCTTTGTCCTCTTGAGGCATGAGTATCTCCAAGCATGGAGATTTCACAGCCTCTTAAAGACTTAACCACTATCACAGGGGAAAAACATTTTACAGGAGTCACAGGGGTAGGTGGGTGTAGTAGCTGCTCCTAAAATGGCGTTGCCTTTCAAGAGCAACATTAGGCTTCAGATAGGCAAGGATCTGGCAGGGCAGACACAAACTGGCTGTGTTTGCCATCTCCACAGGTTCCACCCTTGGTAGGCAAGCTCGAAATCACTTTTGGTTTATCACTAAGTAATTGCTCTCCACGGAAAAAAAAACTCAGTCGTACTTGTAGCTGCTGCTGCCTTTACTACACACTTGAGTGAGTCCATGTGGTGACACTTCACTCCCATTGACACATGTGGGCTTACAAGTTATGTCAAAGCCACCTGGAGCCCTGGGGTAGCAGAGAGGTGGCAGGGGGGAACCAGAGAAAAGTTGTAGTAGAGGGAGCTGAGGGTGAGAAATAACCCTCACAGCTGCTGGTCCCTGCACTCCCCTTCCCCTTGTACTTACCCGTGTGTATCCCACCCTGCTACCAAGCTATATTCTTAAAAACCTAGAAGTTACTAGCGTGAACATACGGAGTGTGTTTCTCACCTCTCCTGAGAATCTCAGCTCTGCGACAGCAGGCCGTGCTGGCTGTCACTTGGAGGTGTGCTGGCTGGCGGGCTCGGAGGGGACAGAAGGCAATCCCAGACACCCACACCCGGCGAGCAGGTTGCTCCCTGAAGATGCGTGAGCAAGGCTGGGCCAGCAGGCGGTGCCGTGAGCCCCCGCCGCCGGGCGTTTCCCTCCAAGTCACCGAAATTTCCCTAAGATTCAAGGAAAATCTAGAGAGAGAGATAAAAAGATTACAGCGTTTAATTTTAGCCTTAACAATTAGCCATGCTGCTAATGTGTTTCTGTGACTGGGAGCTACGTTTTGAAATACCGAAGCCATTTTCTAGCCCTCTTAAAAATTTCTTTTGTTCTGCTTTACTAGAAAGCAACACAAATTTTAAATCTCAAGTAGTTTTTTATGCAACATATAATCGACTTGTGAAACTTTAGTGTTATCTGCACTGTCAGGGAGTATGTACGAGTAGTACTTGCCCGTTGATGAATGGAGGGAGGTGTAGGTGTACAGCAGCCACACTTTGGCTGTAGGTAACACCATGCCTGGTCGTCCTCGTGGGCCTCAGGACAGGGAAGAGAGGAGCAGGTCATGAGGAGGAGCTGAGGAGCGGTTTCCTTTGGAACCATGGCCCGTGCAGCTGGTCTGGCATGGCTGCAGGGGCCCCATGGTGGCCATCTCCCACTGCAGGAGGGGAGAGGAGTGGCGAGATGCTCGTTCCCTAGTGCTATCCCTGTTTCTGCAGCTCTTTGTTGGTTGCCACTGGGACGTGGGTCCCCAACGTGGTAAACTTCCCTGGCTCAGAGTATGTGGAAGGCTACGAGACTGTGTCCATCGACCCAGAGGATTTTGCTGGCCAGACTGTGTTGATCTTGGGCCGAGGGAACTCGGCCTTCGAGACGGCGGAGAACATTCTGGGCGTGACCAATTTCATCCACATGGTGAGCCGGTCCCGCGTGCGCCTCTCCTGGGCCACCCACTACGTCGGGGATCTGAGGTAGGAAGCTGCTCCTCTTCCTCTTTCTAGCTCAGCTGGAGTACAGCAAGGAGGATCTCTTCTTGCCCTGGTGATGAGCGGACTGGCACAGGAGGTGCTGTGGTCCTGGGGGTCGCAAAGGAAACGTGGGGTCTTGTATCTTTAGGTCCTTGGTTTAAAGCTGTCCAGGTTGAACACAGGAGCTTGATGGATGCTCTTCAGGGTCTGTGAAATAAGAAAATGTCCCCTTGGGAAATGTATCATTAAAAAGTGCTGGATCCTGAGTTGTTCCCTTGCTTGCAATTACAGAGGAGAGCCGAGAAGCTGACTACATCCCACAAGGGCAGCAAGTCTGTGTTACCTGTGCTGTTCCTGGGAGCCCTGAGGCTCTGGGGATAACCTTTGCACTGAAGGGGAGCGTGGGATGCCTGGTGGAGGCATCCCCTTTTCAGCAGCTGAGACAGAACTGTGGATCCCACCTCTCCTCCCTTCTTTTAACCCTCTTAACAGTCTCCTTTTCTTCCCAGAGCAATTAACAACGGCCTGCTGGACACCTACCAGCTGAAATCTCTGGATGGGCTTCTCGAGGGCGACCTGGAAGATCTGGCTATCCTCAAGGATGAGAGGGGGCAGCTGCACGTCACGCTGAGGTTCTACCTGGAGAGCAGGAACGGCAGCACCGGCCCAGCCCTCCCGCAGGACCCCCTGGACAACTTCGCCACCCGCGCGCCCTACGACCGCGTCATCCGCTGCCTGGGCTGGAAGTTTGACTTCTCCATCTACAACAGGTGAGGGAGGACCAGGATCCCCAGAGAGGTGGGTGTCTGGAGTGAAAAGCCTGAGCTGGGAGGAAGGGCGGGTCCTCTCCTAGACCTCCACGTGCTCTGAGCTCCCTAGTGCTGCACAGAATTGTTTGGTTACCCTCTGGCCACGGCTCTGTCCCAGTGGGAACGTGTGTGCCACTGACCACAGGCTCCAGGGCTGAGCAGGTGGCTATGTTGGGGCCTGGGTGACACAGAAAAACTTGTGCCTTTAGATCTTAACCTCCTGGCCTGCCTGATCTCATGGAGAAGGCTGGCAATGTTTTCTGTTTAGGGTCTTTCTCTTGGAATGAGAACGGTACGGGTACGGATCGCTACAGAAAAGTTTCATCTGCTTGTTGTCCCTGAGGATGCAACCTTACTCCACCTTGGTTTGTCTCCTAGTACATCCTGCAGTTGAAAATGATAGTGTTAACTTCATTGTCTTCCAAAATTCACTGTCAGTGGCTGAGGGTGAAATTTGATCTTGTCCAGAGCTACCTTGAGATGAGCATCCTTGTCTTCTGGAAGATCCTCACAGTAGTAAATCCCACTGAAGGCAGCATGAAGCAGTGAATTGCAGTGGCAGTGATATAGCATGTGCCTTATCAGAAGCCCCTGACAGCCTGCTCTTCTCTTTTGCACGTCAGGTCCCTTAAACTGATGCCAGGAAAAGGGAATAAAAACAAGTACCCTCAGATCAAACCCAACTACGAGTCCAGGGGCACCCGGGGGCTCTTTGTTCTCGGCACTGCTAGCCACTCTATTGACTTCAGGAAATCTGCTGGGGGCTTCATCCACGGGTTCCGGTACACGAGTAAGTACTAGGGCATACAGAAAGGGCAGAGGTGGGTTCCCTCCTTCCAAGGAACAATTCAGAGCTTACTGATGGGAAGAGACCATCCTTACCCTTGTGCTGGCAGTGGGGACGACAAAACGCAGCCAAGCTGCAGCTGCTCCATCTGAAGTGGAGGAGAAGTGACTTGGGGTCATATCTGAAGCTTTTGGTTGTCTGTCTTTGTTGTGTCTCGTCCCTCTCTTGCCCGTTGTCTGTTATTTATGTAACACAATGGGTTCCTGCCTGCCAGAGGCTCAGCCTCGTGACAGGCTGTGGGTGAGAGGTCTGTGCTGCGGAGTTAAAACCCAGCAGCTCTGGGCAGCAGAGAGAATTTCCATCTTTACGTGCGTGTGCCCATCCTTATCATTAAAGGACTGCTCAGAAGTAATGAAATATCCCCGAGGACACCCCTCCCTGCCCCCTCTCCAACCGCTTAGCATCCCATCAGCTTTCAGAGGGCACCTCCACTGCGGTTGGCAGCAACGGGGGTGGGAGATCCTGAGCACGGATGAGCTGTAAAGCTTATTTATTGAGTGCTGCCAGCATCCGTGCGTGCCGCAGCAGAGCTATCGTGTTGCTTCACAGAGGGAGCTGGGGTTCTTCAGTCAGCTGTGTTTGCTTCTCCCCATGTCTCAGCTCGTGCAGTCCACCGCCTGCTGGAGAACCGTCACCACGGTGTCCCCTGGCCAGCCACAGCCTCCCCCATCACACAGCTGACCAATGCCATCGTCAGGCGGGTGAACGAGGCCTCGGGCCTCTACCAGATGTTCAGCGTCCTGGCTGACATCGTGCTGCTGAGAGAGTGAGTGAGTGAGTAACTATTCCCAGCACTGCCCTCCCGAGCTTCATCCCTTTTTCTTTGCCGTCGCTTCCCATGGTGCCACCACACCAATTGCTCCATTGCTGCCTAAGGGTGTTACCATCACAGAAGTACCTCAAAACGTGTGCCACTGGTGCCAGTATGGCCAATTCTGCCAATCCCTTCTCTCTCTTAAAGGGCTGAAAAGGTCCAGACCTTCCTTCTAGGCTCAGGGGTGTGGGTACCCTTTTGCTGTCCCTAGGGAAAGCTTTCCAGGAGCAGTGCTAATGTAAAGAAGAATCCCATAATAATGGAGCCTTGTAACAATATCTGCAGCTTTGTGTTCTGCCTCAAGTCCAGGCTGGATCTGTAATGACCCAAAATAATTGCTGTCTGAAGGCTCCACGAGCTGAGGGGGTGTTGGACCCCAGCTGGCTCTTCTCCAGGGGAGAGGTTTGATGGTTGTGGTTTCAATTCACAGCAATGCCACCACGTTTGAGTACCTGGAAGAGTACCCGGTTGGAGTCCTGCCTGAGCTGGAAGTGCAGACGGGGAGGAAGGCTCCCAGTGGGCTGTTTGTCATCATCATGGAGTATGGAAGGAATTTCTCAGGAGCTGACAAGGATGTCTTCTACTACAACCGAGCTGTGGGAGAGGCACAGCACGCCTGGCAGTCCAACTTTTTGCACCCTGTGATTTACTATTACAAACACCTCCCAACAGGTAAGGTTTCCTGCTTCTCCCTGCCGATTATGTGATGGGAGCAAAAAGGAAAGGGATGAAGATACTTAGGGGCCAAAGGAGGCAGGGTACCTGAAGGCATTGCACTCCCTTCTCCTCCATTTCCTTCGTGTCCATCCTCTGGGGCATCGACCACCACTGTAAGCTGAAAAAAAAAGCCTTGAGGTGGCCAAGGTTTCCATTGGTCAGACCAATATGGGCTGGGGGTGGTTGCACCAGAGAGCTCACATTTGAGAACAGGAACAAACAGGCATGCAGTGACAGAGGTAGCCAACGGCAGGGCTTAGGAGGTGAGTGTTCCTGCACCTGTGATGATCCAGCAAACAAACACGCTCAGAGCAGGTTTCCTTGGGAAACGAGTGTGCTGAATCTTCATCTCTGGCAGCCCAGGGTCAGGGTTTGGCCTGCCTTGCCTGGAAAGAAGCGTCGTGGGTCACGGGGTGAAAGCCTGGAACGCAGCTCAGCCCATGCAGCAGTCCCGGCCCAGGGGAAAGAGGAGTGAAATGGGAAGTGCCACGGGCAGGGATCAGGGGCAGCTCGGCAGCAGCAGGGCTGTTGAGAACAAAACTGGCAGAGGGGATTGCAAATGAAAGTAAGGTAGGGATGAAAAGGTCAGGACAAAAGCTGTGACAGCTGTCGCATCTGCTTCCTGCTCCCCGAGCTCTTCTTAATGCCGCTTTAATTCTGAGATTCCCTCTAAACGCTCACTTGGCAGAGCATGAGATGAAAGCCCGGCCCCCAGACTGGCCCCTCCCACGCCCGGCTGCTGTCCATCACATCGTGGAGGATTTCCTGACGGACTGGACGGCCCCCAACGCTCACATCCTGCCCCTCAGGCGCTTTCTGGAGAACTGCCTCGGCACCGACCTGCGCTACTTCTTTGCAGGTAATTTAAGCACAGGGTCGAGGCAGCAGGAGGAGGAGGAGGAGGAGGAGGAGGAGGGGAGACACGAGGGACAAGCAGCAGGAGCAGTGTCTTCTGCAGACAGCTGAGATCTCCCTCTGGAGAGCTGGTGGTCTCACCCTCAGTCACACCTCTTTGGTGCACTCCCCCGAGGGTGAAACGTGTCAGTGCCCTGTGTATGTTCCCAAACAGCCTTTGCTCTTGCTCACCACCAGAAAGAGACTGTCCCAGGCACACCCAGATTTAGGGAAAAGTGTATGAAGTTGGGTTCAGTCCCATTTCTAGCTGCACCTTTCCTTCCTCCTCCATTATCTGAAGGTTCCTTTTTGCCATTGCATATGCAGACCTCTTTTCATGTACTGATGATGGATTTGCTTTCCTGTGGGAAATGAGAGTACTGGGGTGTGAGAGCTGGAGAGCTGCTGCCTCCCCTCCTGGTCCAAAGACTGGTCTGAGAACCTCCTGCAGGAACCCTAGTGACACGCAGAGGGAAGCAATCCTGTGGTAGGAAGAAGATGCCAGAGCTGTAAGGTCAAACCCAGCTCCTCTCCCTCAGAGCACAGACTGGAGACCCCACCCTGTGTCTCCTGAGCTCTGCAGAATTAAGTCTGTTGCTCTGCTGCCATTGAGGGCAAGGTGCTGGGTGGGAAACTCCAGTCACAGAATCATTAAGGTCAGAAAAGACCTCCAAGATCATAAAGTTCAACCATCAGCCCAACACTACCATGACCACCGTGTCCTGAAGTACCACATCTACATGTTTTTTCTCAAATGCCTCCAGAGATGGTGACTCCACCACCTCCCTGGGTAGCTTATTCCAATGCCTCACCACTCTTTCAGGAAAGAAATTCTTTCTAATGATCAATCTGAACCTCCTCTGGCACAACTTAAGCCCATTTCCTCTCGTGGGAGAGAGGAAATTCTAGTTACTTGGGAGAAGAGACCAACCCCCACCTCACTCCACCCTTCTTTCAGGGAGTTGTAGAGAGCAGTGAGTTCTCCCCTCAGCCTCCTCTCCTCCAGACTAAACAATCCCAGTTCCCTCAGCTGCTCCTTAGAAGACGCATTCCCAGACCCTTTACCAGCTTCCTTATCCCTCTCTGGACCTGCTCCAGCACCTCATCTTCCCTCATCCCCTCTGCCTTTTGTCTGGAATGAATCCTCAAGAATTTAGGGGAAGTTTTCTCTAAAGGGTATCTCTGCTGACTCTGGTTTTTGATCTTTTCCCTGCAGAATCCTGTTTCCTGTTCGCCTTCACCCGCCAGAAGCTGCCTCCCTTCTGCCAGCAGGGGTACGTGAGGATGCAGGGGCTGGTGGGGAGCGAGGGGCTCCGGCGCCACGCCGTGGAAGCTGGCCTGCTGGAGGATCACACTCCCACAGACTTTTTGGGCAGCAGACCCCCTGGCAGTCAGGAGGGGTCAGGGGACCAGCTGCTGAGAAATCGGGTGATCGCTCTCCGCCCGCTGCAGCCCCTCGCCAGCGCCAGGGATGAGCTGTGACCTGCCTCACTCCACAGAGACCCACGGGTGCTCTGCTGACAGTGCTGTAACAGACCCACGGCAGGGTCCTGCCCTCGCCCCTGCACCTTCTCCATCCCCATCCCTTCCCCTGGCCGTGAGTTGCCAAAGACCTGCTCAGATCTCGCTGTTACGAAGTGGACCTGCGTGCTCTGAAGGATGAGCCGAGGCTCCTCGCAGAGCTCAGAGCTTCCTGAAGGTGGTGTTCTTGTTTGGCTCACAGACCCGTATCCGCAGCGACGTCCAGGGGTTGCAGAAGACAGTGCAGGGGCACCTGGGTGTCCCTCTGCAGAGGTGACCTGCTCATGCCCACGGCAGCCCGGGGGGGGCGGGGGAGGGGCAGGCGGCAGGCTCTCTGCTCCGCGGGTGCCCTACGCTGCTGTTTGTGCCCTGCATCCCCACGGGCTTGGTGCTCCAGGCAAACTTCCTGGTGTTTCTCTGCATTTGAGCTGGGACAGCTTTGTAGCTGGAGTGGATAAGGGTGTGTTTTCATTACCATGTAGGTGGGATAATGTGTCATTTCCCAAGGAGCCCTGCAAGGGACCCTTCCCTCCAGGAAGGGTGAGTAGCTTGCTGAAATGCCTGGGACACGGAGGCTGACACTGAGTTTGTCTCCACTGTTCTCACGTGTTTCCTCTCTCACACCAAGCAGGCTGAAAGGTTCACCTCTGCCTTTTATAAAGCATGACCAATTTTTCTCCTGTTTGCACTATCCCATCAGGAAAGTCTCGGGTGGACTTTGATGATGTTAAAATGCTCGTTCTCTATTTTGTTCCCCTCCAGTCACTGTGAGATCCTAGGGGTGCTGACAGGGAGGCTGCCTGTGCTTTGTTCCTCCTGTCATCCCCGTGCACGTGCCTCTCCCCTCCCTGTGGTCTCCTTCCACAGCCCTGCAACTGCAAGGCAAGAGCAGTCCTGAGCTTGACCTTGTGAAGCCCCTGTGATTTCTGGGAAACAGAGGAGGGGCAAGAGGGAAGAAGCTTTTACCTCCATACACATTTTCCAACCCCTCAGCACATCCCCCTCCACATGTGTGCTTCCCAACACCCTATGCCAGGGGGGCTGCACCTACATGTACCTAAAACTCACCCAGTCCTTCAAATTCTGTAAAGCTTTGATTCCTGCCCCACTTTCACTCCATGCTTGGAGAGGCTGGGGAGCAGAAGTGGGGAAGGAGATGACAAATGGGTTCTCACTGCTCTTAGGGAATACTGGGCTGAGCTAGCAATGCAGGCAGAAATTCATTCTCTGTGTGCACTGACACAGGGTGCCTTCCTCTTGTATTTCTCCAGAGGTTTCCTCTTTCATCCTCAGATTCCCCCAAGAGCAGACTACGTTCACAGTATATGTGTTGCCTTAAATTGTGATTCCTCTTAGAAAAAAGTGATAATCTTAAAAACATGGCCCCTACCAACTCTTCCAGTGTGCCCCACACCAATCTCGCAGGCTTGGATCTGGCCACTTAAACCCCAGAGGTCTTGCTGCTGCTTGCTCCCTGCAGGTCCTGGGGAGCTGGGACCCAGGTTCATCATCCACCAAGGGAGCGTTGCCCTTTCAGCCTTGCTCCATCTGGGCCTGGTGCCACTGTCTGCAGTCACCTGGGGGAGCAGGGTGGCAGGAGAGCTGCCTGGCAGAAAGGGACCTGGGGGTGCTAGTGGAGAGCTGGCTAACAGGAGCCAGCAGTGTGTCCAGGTGCTGGCCAAGGGGACCAACAGCAGCGTCCTGGCTTCTGTTAGCAGTAGTGTGGCCAGCAGGACAGTGTCCCCTGTGCTTGGCAAGGGTGAGGCTACGCCTCAGAGGCTGGTTCAGTTTTGGGCCCTGCACTACAAGAAGGCCATTGAGCTGCTGGAGCGGGTCCAGAG